AATTTATTATGGTTTATAATGGCAAATGATACTTTGAATATTACATGTTAATAACTTGATTGGAATTATAACCTTGAGTTGACAGTTTGATACTTTGAAAATTTTGAGCCAGCCCTACCCCCAAGGGCTGTAGGGTGGGGCCCAAAGGAGTCAGTGTGCTAAAATTTCTTCATTTTCCTTGTTTAGAATCAGAGGTGCTAGTTTCAAATACTTTTTAGTCTTAAATCTGTATGCTAGATATTGAATAAGGTGGTTTTATTGTTTTTTGTCACTTTGAATAATATTTCTGTACATGTTAAAAACAAAATCAACTCTCTGTATAAATATATCAGGTGACCGTTAAGGCCCATGGGCCTCTTGTTTAAATCTTATTGTCAATTAATTGCAGACATATGATATAATGTATTGCTACATAGCATTCTTATTGTGATCATGCTTGGCAAGGATTTGACCTCATGAACTAAACAATAACAGGGATATGTCATTTCTTTTATTTTGACAGTATATTTTTACAAGATATTTTAATTCACAATAAATTCTCCTTACAAATTTTAATATGTGAATATAGGAATCTCATCAAATGTTTTATGATTGAAAGTATTGTCCAAAGTTGCTGTTTTGTACAACATTCTCAGTATTACCTGTATCAAAACTGTTGATCAATATAATTCATTGTAAAGGTGTAAGCGTGGTTGATGAATGTTATCAGGAATCAGATTGAATAATTATCCATGTTGCAGCAAAGTCATTAATTTCATTTTACCTTTCTTTTCAGGAAAAGAATGTTGCTCTGAAGATATTTGAGTTAGGGTTAAAGAAGTATGGTGAATGTCCCGAGTATGTCCTGTGTTATATGGAGTTCATGTCTCACCTGAATGGTAAGTCATTTGTCAGGCAGGATGAAGTGTTATTGTGCATAGATTTTCTGATTGGTGTAGGACAAATTTTAACCTACCTTTTCATTTAGAAATAAGTCTTGAATTGAAAGTGAAAATCTGTGTGTTAGTTAGAGAATAGAAATGAAACTGTTGTAAGCTGCTTGTGAAATTTAAAGTGTGCCTATATTTTGTTTGCCTAACAACATTAAATATTTACTAGGTAATTTAAATAATATTTGTTATCATTATTTCACTGAAATTAATCTTGGAAAATTAATCTTAAAATGCACTTCAGAACAAAAATCATAGTTTGACAAAATGGTTTGTGAAATTCTGTTTGTTAAGTCAGCAGCTAAAATCAATAAATTGAAGTTAAACTATAACCATTAAATATTGGTAGAAATAAAGTTTATTTCCAACGGTATAGAATGTTTTCATAGGAAGTTATTAGTTTGTTCATGTCTGTATTATAACAGAGGATAACAATACAAGGGTCCTGTATGAAAGAGTGCTGTCATCTGGTCAAATTCCACCACAGAAGTCCATGTAAGTTGTTGTAATGTAACAGTGACAGTTATCTTAACATCTGTAATATTTGATGACATAATTCCTGAAAAAAGTTAATACAGTTTAACCCTTTCACCCCTAGGTAACTTTAGTAGACTCTACCACTCATTTATTAGGATGAGTCCATTATGGTCTACAGTGGTGAAAGGGTTAAATGAGTTTGTTTAAGAGAAATTAATATCTTTACTTGAGAAGGAACCTTAAATGAATTTGTTTTCAAATTTTGAAATTTCAGTGAAATTTGGAGTAGATTCCTGGCATTTGAATCTGAAGTTGGAGATCTGGCCTGTATACAGAAAGTTGAAAAGCGAAGAGCTCAGGCCATTGAAAAGGTAAATTGAAAAGAAATACATGTTGAATGGTGCATAAAAAACTAGATTTTTTTTTTATATATAAATGCCTGCCTCTTGTATGTCTGTCTTTTCAGCAACAATTTTGTTTCTGTTGCACAATATCATTACAAATGTATTTTTACCAAACTTCGTTTGTTGAAGTACTTGTTCATGGAAGATGCCCTTATGTTTTGGGGTCATTATGTTTTGTAAGTCAAGATCATAAAATATATGACCTGACTGAAATGAGAGACAAAGTTTGTTTTCATCAGTCTTGTTTGTTTGTGTTTTACGTCCTATTAACAGCTATGGTTTTGGGTGGTGGAGGAAAGCCGGAGTTCACCGACCTACGACCAATACCTTGCAACTGCCCCACGTGGGTTCAGACCTGCGACCCAGTGGTGGAGGGCTAGTGGTAGCAGAATGTCGGACGCCTTAACCACTTGGCCACAGTGTCCCCTTTAGCAGATGTTATTTGGTAAAAACACACTTAAATCTTGTTTCAGGTGCAAGAGTTTGAAGGAAAGGACACGGCTTTATTGATAGATCGGTACAAATACCTTGACCTGTATCCTTGTACAACAAGTGAACTGAAGGCTGTCGGATATTACGTAAGTATGGTGACTCAAGGATAAAATGTGTTATTATAGATCAAGGATATTTAGATGTGATTATAATTTCTTTAGTTGGTGATGGGTATGAAGGTACCAAAATTCAAAAAGTTTATCAAAAAGTTCTGGGATAAAAAAAAATACTGTTTTCTTATTCTGTTATTATCTGATGTTTGCCGTCTCTAAGGTGTTGAGACTGTCTACCCAAAAATGGAGATGGATACTACTAAAAGGATAGAGATACTTGGATATTTACTCATGGAGATGTTCAATGTTGATGTCTTTTGTTCAGTGAGTTGATAGGACAGTGACATAGAGTTATCTATCAACAAGCTGAACAAGGTTATATCAGTATAGGACTTTATAACCTAAAGTTATATTTTCTTCATAATTTGAGAAAATAATCAGCTTGTCATATGCATTTCTGTTAACCATGACAACACAATGTATTGTATACAAATAAAAAAAAAGCAAAAAAAAAATCTTTGAAAGAAATTGTTCAGATGAGTTGAGCTTTACACATTAAAATTAATTGAAATATGAATATGATTAAATATTTTACAACAGTTATGTCTCAATAACCTTAAAATTCTCTCCACCAGGACTTGGCTAGGCAGCAGGTGGTCCAGCTACCTTCCAACAGTGTGACCAAGGTGGTGATGGAAGAGGAGGAGGGCAAGAAGGCACCGGAATACCCTAAACCTGATATCGAACAGATGTTGCCCTTCAAACCCAGGATGATCATACGTAAGTTTGCATTTCATTCACACCTGAAATGGTCTTAACTTATCTACCCTTTCATTCTGATCACTGATCGTATTTACAGTAAAACACATTTAGTACAGACATGCTTTTTAGAATTTTTACTTGTATCGAGGTTAAACTTTTGTCTCCAGGCAAAGGAACTAGCTGTCTCAAGAACATTTAAGTCTGTAACAGATTATGCATATACAAATGTAGCATACTAATTACATTGGTCCACAGGGATTCAGTATAAATGTCTTTCACTATATATTGTGTAGAAATTCAAATAATGTATAAAAGACACTTTCTGAAGAAAGGAAGGTTTATAATAAACATATTTCATCTGTTTTAGCTAATGGATCTCACATTGTGGAAGGAGGTGTTTTCCCCCCTCCCCCTTCAGCTGCCAATCTGATGACGCAGCTTCCTCCTCCAGAATGTTTCCACGTAAGTTGTAACACCAACTGTCAAACGCCCACTATTTGCTGTATGTCAATCATCAGATTATTAACAGTTAGTTTGTTTAGTAAATCAAGGATATATATCCAGTGCTGATTGATCTCGGTGTAAGTTACAGTTATTGGTATTTGATAAGTACACGAGTCCAAACTGAAACTCTTCAATGACTGAATAGTATTGACTGTGTGCCTTAAGCTACTAGAATGATCATGGCTACCCGGGATGTTAACTGCAGAAGCAACCTAACTCAACAGAATGAGCAAGCAGTACCCGAGAGATGTGTTTTAGGATATTTATGTTTGCAAAAAATTCACATATACAAAACTTTAATTTATCTAAGTGATTGATACATCATCAGGGGTGGACACTAGCACTAGTTCACTAGTCCTGAACTAGTAGATTTCAGTAAGGACCATTGATTCACCTAAACTTAACTGGTCCTTTGGACTTGTGAAAAGTATGATTATAAAATAAGAATATTTCTTTTTAAAATCATAATACTGCTTAAAATAAGATATATATTGCTGGATAATTGTTAAAATTTCCCAACATTTTCACCATATTTTTATGGCAGTAGTTATTTTTTTAAGTCCCCTACACTCAATTACTTTTGATGTTTCATGCTGTAGATCGCGATGTTTCCTTATCAGGAAATATTAGATTACTTTGACGAAGGACTAGTAAATAATCTATTCAACGAGTCCTGTGGAATATAGCTACCAAGCAAAAAAACTGTCTAACCCTGATCATGTTAATTTAGTTTTTACTATAGCAGTCATTGTTTGCAATTTGAATTGATTAAAAATCTCAAACAACTTGAGGAATATTACTTCAACATATTTTTTACTGAAAATAAGGCCATGTTCGCCATCATGATACCTGTTTAATATTTATCTCGCTGCATATTTGGGTGAAATGCTTCCCATACCCCCAATACTTGGATTCAAATCACCAAACTCACTATAAACTTGTTTTCAGGGACCATTTGTAGTCATGGATGCTTTCATAGAGCATATGAAGAAACTGATGTTACCTGATCGTAAGTAAATTCCCAAGAAAAAAATACATCTTTCCTGAGTGTAGTAGAATGCTTATACTGGTATTCAGAACTGAAATAAAGACTAGTGTATGGTATCTTACTAAGATATGGAGATTAAGGCCTTACTGTGACATGGAGACTTATGATGTATGCTACCTTACTGTGACATGGAGACTTAAAGATATGGTACATTACTGTGACATAGATACTTAAGGATATGGTACATTACTGTGACATGGAGACTTAATGATATGGTACATTACTATGACATAGATACTTAAGGATATGGTACATTACTGTGACATGGAGACTTAAAGATATGGTACATTACTGTTACATGGAGACTTAGGATATGTTACATTACTATGACATGGATACTTAGGATATGGTACATTACTATGACATGGAGACTTAAGGATATGGTCAGTACTGTGACATGGAGACTGATGATGTATGCTACCTTACTGTGACATGGAGACTTAAGGATATGGTACATTACTGTGACATGGAGGCTTAAGGATATGGTACATTACTGTGACATGGAGGCTTAAGGATATGGTACATTACTGTGACATGGAGGCTTAAGGATATGGTACATTACTGTGACATGGAGACTTAAGGATATGGTACATTACTGTGACATTGAGACTTAGGATATGGTACATTACTATGACATGGATACTTAAGGATAATGTACATTACTGTGACATGGAGACTTAGGGATATGGTACATTACTGTGACATGGAGACTTAAGGATATGGTACATTACTGTGACATGGATACTTAGGATATGGTACATTACTGTGACATGGATACTTAGGATATGGTACATTACTGTGACATGGATACTTAGGATATGGTACATTACTGTGACATAGATACTTAAGGATATCGTACATTACTGTGACATGGAGACTTAGGATATGGTACATTACTATGACATGGAGACTTAAGGATATGGTACATTACTATGACATAGATACTTAAGGATATGGTACATTACTTTGACATAGATACTTAAGGATATGGTCGTTACTATGACATGGAGACTTAAAGGCTATATGCTACCTTATTGTGTATACATGCTACCTTACTATGACATTGAGACTTAAGGATATGGTACATTAGTATGACGTTGAGACTTAAGGCTATATGCTACTTTACTTTGACAGACATCTTTATTTCAAAAGAGTTTCACACAGCACTATTTAGCATTACCAGTCATTAACCTTTCCTTTTTGGGTATTCTACAGTGCCTCTTCCACAAGAGAATGGTGTTGACAGCAAACCAGACATCGGTACTCAGTTCTCCATAGACTTGGCTATGGGCAGGAAACGCAAAATCACAGAAGGGGAAGAAAGTGACGAAGAAACCAATGAAATGGCGGCACCACCAATACATGATATTTACAGAAGTCGGCAACAAAAACGCACAAGATAATCCATTTCATCAGTCTTATTCATGCATTTGTTATCATATTTCATCATGCCAAGATTTGTGTTGAGTAATTGTTTCTTGTGTAACTTGTGATCAGAGTTGCATGTTGTACTATGACCGGGACTAGAATCATACCTTTTCAGCAGTGTCATACTTCAGTATTTTTAACACAAGACTCCTATTGTTGTATTATGCCTTGTTCATTTTTTGCCTGCGGACATTTCAAATCAATTCGTCCCATATTGAATCTGTCAACCCAACTTTAGTTTGGTAATATCATATCTTTCAAATCTTCAAATAAAAACATATTTTGTGTTGTATGAGAGTTTGGATGTTTGTTCAAGATAAAAATGAAACAGGAACGAAAATTCTCTGTTAAAATATGACTGTTCTGAATTAAGCACAGTTATGGCATATTGGCATTATACATTATGGAATCTGGGATCATTTGTCTTGGTTTATTTTTGTTAATGTGTGTTTTTTCTATCTTATGACAATGAAAGTTCAGATATGTATGTTCTTTTCTTGCTTTTGGATTTGACAATCATCTGATCAGGTGTAAATATTGTTGTTAAAAATGATCCAAGTCATGTTTTTGATATGTCAGGATCTACAGTGCTTATCTTTCTTTGTGTCTTCACAACTTACTGTCATTTAAAAAGCTTATTATACAATACTGTTTGTCTGTTTAGCTGGATCCAAATTTCATGTTATATTGAAGTACATTTGAATCCTGCATAATGTACCATTTTTGAAAATTAAATGTTTATATAGTAAAACTGCACACTGGTACCACTTCTCCATCACAATTCTGGTGTTAGAAGAGTTTTGATGAGGTACATGTAAGCAATAATAATAATGATGATAATAATAAACTTTATTTATTGAGGATTAAAAAACCTGATTTAGCTTAAGGCTAATCTCCCTCAGGGTCCTCTATGTTAGTAAAATGTGTTAGTTTTACATAGTATTTCTTAAAACATAGTAATATAAATTAAACATAAATGACATCTAAAATATAAGTTATGAGATTGCTGAAAATATTACATACAATTATATAGTACATTACATCAAATATCACAGCAAGCATACATCTCATGCTTTGAAGGTCTGATAATAGTCAAATGGCTGGAGCCTTACATACATATATGCTAATATAGCAAAGTATAAAAATTGTCAGGATTTACTGGTACGCTAATATAGCATAAATTAAAAACTGTTTTCTTTATCTAAAAGTATGAATCACAGTAGTGCTTTATAGCTCTATGCTAGGTGGTAAATGCAACAGGGCCCACTTGTATAAAACATCTCAAAGTTGAGTAAAATCTCAATCAATGTATTGTCAATGGGAAATCTTAGACTTGAGGAAATCTCAAGAGTTGTAATGTTTTATACAGGTGGGACCATGGGAATTTCTTCAAGTTTTACATCCTGGAGTGACTCAGACTTTGTTTTATGAAGTTTTACTCATTAACCCTCTCACCACTGTAGACTACAATGGACTTGTCCATATCAATGCATGGTAGTGTCTACGAAAGTTACATAGGGGTGAAAGGGTTAAAGGATACCAAGATACAATCTGACAACAACTTGATTCTTCCAAATGAAGTATATCGTCCTATTAATGCTTTCAAAATCTTTCTGTTGTCACTATAGTCAATCAAACACTCGATGCCTGTATTACTGTACCATTGGCTGATTGATTACAACAAAGGATCTCGCTTATTAATCAAACAATGATGCAATGCTTAGGGTTAAACCGATATAGCATCGTACCGTCAGTATGTAGAGCTAAGGTTTTCTTTGTTGACGTATCAAGACGAAGATTTAGGTTTTGAAAATGGTTTATGGAATTCTTATTTATAACAAAGGATAATTTTTTGCTCCTATTTTGAAAATGATCAGCCCCAAAAGGCGTCTGTGAATGTGCATGCTCTTTGATGACAAATTTTTGTGAAATCCGAATTCGTTATTTTTTCACAGTGATTACAACTGTAAAAACATGGCTGGATGTACAGGGGTTAAAAATCACCTTCAAGTAATAATAATAAGAAAAATAAATAAAAAGTACTAAAATGATCACCTCAGATTTAAAAGTATTACTCTAGGACTTTTATTTTGCAAATGAACAGGAGTTTAAATATCCCGCAAGGTGCCCCTGTTCTGTATAGAGTGTATGTTTCATTATATAACATGTATGTACTTGAGAAGATATGCAAATATAAACCTAGCAAACCTTCTGTCATTTTGTTAGTGTCTAATGACTTTTGTGTATTGATGTTCCATAAAATCTACATTTTGCAATTGTTTTTTTTAGCTCACCTGGCCCAAAGGGCCAAATGAGCTTACGACGTGGCGCGGCGTCCGTCCGGCGTCCGGCTGTCCGGCGTCAATATTTTACTTTAAACAACTTCTTCTGAATAACCAAGAGGCCCAAGCTGATGATATTTGGCCAGTAGCATGCTGGGATGAAGGACTACCATGTTTGTTCAAATGAATGACCTTGACCCTCTTTCAAGGTCACAGGGGTTAAATGTCTTAAAGTCTTCAAACGACTTCTTCTCAATAACCAAATGGGCCAGGGTACTGATATTGGGCCTGTAGCATGCTGGGATGAAGGGCTACTAAGTTTGTTCAAATGAATTACCTTGACCCGCTTTCAAGGTCACAGGCATCATATGTTTAAATCTTTTAATAGGTTTTTACGAATCAATCACTGATATTCTGCCTGAAGCTGTATTTTAGTCCACTTTTAAGATTACAAGTGTGAGATTTATACCAGGTGAGCGATGTGGGCCCATTGGGCCTCTTGTTTAAATAAAAATATATGACCCAAAAAAGGCATTTTGCGTGTGACAATTTGCATTTATTTGTAGAGGTGTTCAAACAGTGTAAAATAAATTGGATATCTTTGCTTGTTGAGGACTTATAAGATTGTTAGTACATGTATATGGTTTATGTGTCGAACATTTCGGTACTGTGTACTGCATTTTTGTGTTATTTGTCTGCAAGTTATATGTGATGTCCATGTTCTCAGAAAAACTCTCAGCAAGTACAGATTAATCTTGACTGCAGGATGTGTCAGTTTTAACTGACACAAACTGTGGAAATAAGCATGCTACACGTTAAACAATACATGAAATTCATCATTATTAAATGCCAGTTGATGTGATAAGTATGAACACTACAGGTGAATTATACAAGATTATGATACCCAGATGATATGTTAAAAGGTATGGGGGTCACCTGTCTGATTACCTAGGTTTTTTTCCTGTACTCCGGTTTATCTTGATCCTCTGCATGCTATCATCCATTTCAGCAAAAAAAAATCATATAGAATAAAAATTGGTTTTTTATTCAAAATTAATGGGGACATCTTGATAAATTCAAGCATGACTTGCATCAAAATTTACCTGATCTTGAATACAGTAAAACCTGGCCTACCTGTAGTGATCGCCTCATGTTTATCATTATCACATCAAACATTGTTTTATTTGCAACCAATCAGACAGACTTGTAAGCGAATCATTGCTTATCTGGATCAAGAAAACTCTTGTTTCCAATATGCTGCACTTCTATCTTGGATAAAGGTAGACTTGTAGCCAAATGCACTAAAAATATTCCGTTTTTATAATCTTGTATTTTTTATGTATGTATCAAATACATATTGCATTTTGGTGTAGAGCTGATCATATAAAATCATTGCGAGATTCTGTAACTGGCATATTTTGTAGAAAAAGCAAACTAGTAAAGAAGTCGGTTTAATTTTGGATGATTGTTAAATGAAAAATGTTGTTTCATTTTTGTGTCATTTCAAGGTAATAAAACAATAACTGAATAAATAATATGTGGCAGTGAAAATGTATTCTGGTTTCGATTTTTTAAAGATATTTCTATGTAACAGTTGATATAAGTTAAAGATCACAGGCTGCAAAACTCATGAAAAATTTAACAATGAAGTTGCTCATAGTGAAAAAAATCTTTCCAGTTAATACTCCAAAGTTTTAGAACTCTTCTTCATGATTATAATTGATGTTATCCTTTACCTTAAAAAATAAGAAATAGGAGTTATAGCAAGTAAACAGTCACCATACAACTTAGTCAACAGGGATAATATTGAGGAATTTTACACCACAACGCTATACACAATCAACAGGAGTTATACAACATGGTCAATGGGGGTAATACACAGGAATTGTACAACACAACGCTATACACAATCAACAGGAGTTATACCACATGGTCAATGGGGGTAATACACAGGAATTGTAGAACACGACGCTATACACAATCGACAGGAGTTATACAACATGGTCAATGGGGTTAATACACAGGAACTGTACAACACAACGCTATACACAATCAACAGGAGTTCTACAACATGGTCAGTGAGGGTAATACACAGGAATTGTACAACACGGCGCTATACACAGACAACAGGAGTTGTACAACATGGTCAATGGGGGTAATAAACAGGAACTGTACAACACGGCGCTGTACACAATCAACAGGAGTTATACAACATGGTCAATGAGGGTAATGCACAGGAATTGTACAACACGACGCTATACACAATCAACAGGAGTTGTACAACATGGTCAATGGGAGTAAGGCACAGGAATTTTACACCACAACGCTATACACAATCAACAGGAGTTGTACAACATGGTCAATGGGGGTAATGCACAGGAATTGTACAACACCACGCTATACACAATCAACAGGGGTCGCACAACTTGGTCAATGGGGGCAATACACAGGAACTGTACAACATGACGCTATACACAATCGACAGGAGTTATACAACATGGTCAATGGTGGTAATACACAGGAATTGTACACCACAACGCTATACACAGACAGCAGGAGTTGTACAACATGGTCAATGAGGGTAATACGCAGGAACTGTACAACAAGGCGCTATACACAATCA